TGAAGCTTAGAGATCTCACTGTACTGGAACAGTGTGGTCTGACATCAGAGCCCAGGCTCTCAATTCCTATACCATGCTGCAAAGGCACAGAGCCATGGAGGGAGGTGCTACATGTACCAACTTGGGATAAGTTTAGATAAGTGTCTGGACCATGGGTAAGCAGTAGGTGGTGAGGCCAGTTATTGGACAGGGCCAGATTCTGAAGGCTCTTGAATGCCAAGCTAAATAGTTGGGTTTATCCCATAGTAGTTGGGGAGCCAAGACAAGCATTTAAGTCTACAAATGGTTTGATCAGCAGTACATTTTAGCACAATACTCTGAGAATGATGTGGAAAATGGGCAAGATTGTGAAGAGGCTGAAGGAAGGGAGGCTATTTCAAAAGATCAAATACTAGGCTCTAGATGAGGCAGAAGGAGTAAAGATAGGAAGTAATGGGCAGATTGGAGAGATTTCTTGAGATAGAATTGATGCAATATGAAGAAGAATTGAGTCTGGGTCAGGGGAAGGAAGAATAACTGAGAAGATATAAAATTCATAACTTGACATAAACATTCATCCAATTTTCCATCAATTAAAATAAATGTTATACAATGACAGGTATCTGGTAGAGAAAGTAACAGTAACTTAGTCATGCACCTATTGTGTTAATATTTAACTACTTCATGCTCATAATTCTCAGCAACCTGGCAAAACCGTAATCTTCTCCAAGAAAGAAATGACTCACAATTTCTTGTGCCCATTTGTCCACTCAGTGTCCACTTCAGTGTTGAATAGAAAAATAACTAAACACAACTCACCAAATATTTGTTAAATATAGAAGGTGTATAAAATACTATACTCAAAAAGTATCGCTGATCAAAGGTAGAAACATAGAAGAAAATCTAAATGGGTTTTAGTACATAAAATTTTAAATTGTAACTTACAAAAGAAAAAAAAAGCTAATATAAAATTAATATAAAAGTTTTACTTCACTAGTAATCAAATAGATACAAATTAAATATTTCTCTTGTCCATCAAATTTCAAAGACATTCATAACACCACATGGAAAGAAACCGGTCTTTGACTTGATTTTTCACAATGGCAGTTAGCCAGGAGAGCTACCTAACCAGGAGCATGTCAAGAAGTAATCCTAGTAAGACTTTTTACTGTGGTATAACTAGCTCATCCTTACTAACATGCAGATATTCTCTTCTAATTCCTAGAATAACCTGTTGATCCCCACTGCAGAAACACAGGCAATGATCAAGAAAGTCACTTGTGGTTATGCAATTAGTAAATGGTGGAGCTATAATTAAAATCCACATGTTTCTGACCTTAAAGCCAATACCATGTGGAGTGAGTATGAATTCCACAATTATATGATTATTGAGGTAATCATCATTCTATTCTGACAGCCAGCTCTATGCCTGGGCAGAACAGGCCTTCTCATGCACAAAACCTTGACGAGATAATTCTGGATGCCCCCAAAGATCACCACTAGCTGCCATGGTCTCACTGTTAGGGTCACTATTGTGTAGGCAGTAATGAGACTTTGATCAACTTCTGGATAATAAAATCTACTTCAAAAACGTGTTGAGAAGATTTGCTTTTGTCCACAGAGTAAAAGTGACACTGCCTCAAGAGTTATCTTTCTAAAATGCAAGCTCCATCCCAGTCAATACTATTTGGTCTTCAAAACCAGCTCCAGTATCTTAAGTGAGAAGCCTGTCTCAATCACCCAATCAGAGATCTCTGCTCTCTCCCTCCATGCTTCTATTATGCCTTCCTCAGACCTATGTGATTCTTCACATTGTAACAGAATGTTCACTTACTTTTCCATGTCCCTTACTATTCCATAAGCCACTTGAGAATGGAGTCAATGGCTTAGACATCTTGTGATGCCAACACCAAGTCGAGGACAGGCATATGGGAGAATTGTTTTGTTTAAAAATAAATAAATAAGAAAATAGTCCATTATTTTACTGTCACAAACCCTATCAGGCAGTTATGATAATTACCTGCATTCTACAACCTGAGCCAATTGAGGTTCCAAGTTGCAGTGACTATAAAAATCATACATAAGAGAGCAAACTTACACTGAATCCAGGTCTCCAGACTCTTCACTCCAGCAAACATGGCCTTTCAAAGACAACAGGGGAAAAGGCCCACCATAGCCCGCCTAGACCAGTGATTTTCAATAGGTGTGCCTGGTATACGGAGTGCCGCAAGAATTTTTAAAACATGCAATACCTGACTATTTAGTCAGGGGACTGACCACTTTTCCTTTGGATTATCAAATTAAAAAATGACAACAGCCAACACAACAATAGCTGGTGTGAATGAACCTAAATTAAAGCCTTTTGAGGTCAGATTGGCAAAAAAATATATATATGTTTTGGTGTACTGCAGAATTTTAGTAATTAGTTTATGTGTGCCATGAGATGAAAAAGGTTGAAAATTGCTGATCTAGACCATCATTGCACAAAGGTACTTTGTTTCTCAAAGGTAATAAGGACTCTGAATAGTATTAGGGAACAGAATTAAAGTATAAGGAATGTTGGCAGATTTGGTTCTAACTCCAGGCTTACTCTATCCTTAACTTTTCTGCCTTGGGAAAATCTCTAAAACCCAGGGGCCTTGGCTTCCTCATCTGTCAAATGGGGTTTTAAACAATGATAGTCACCCTTGCAGGGTTTGATATCAGAATAAAAGTTATATGTTAAACTATGGTTATTGTTATATTAGGAAAAATTGGCACATAGTAAATGTCTGTACCAGCCAGCTGGTATGGCTCAGAGTTTGAGCCTGGTCTCATGCACCAAGAGGTCACCAGTTAGATTCCCAGTCAGGGCACATGGCCAGGTTATGGGATCAATCCCCAGTAGGGGATGTACAGGAAGCAGTAGATTGATGTTTCTCTCTCATTGATGTTTCTCCCTCCCCGTTTCTCTCTCACTAAAAAAAAAAAAAAAAAAAAAAAAATCAGTTAAAAACAAACATGTTTTTAAATGCCTGTGCAGTGGGTAAAATTTCATACCCAATTTTATTTCATCCCCACAGCAATCTTGTGGAATCCATGCTATTACTTCAATCTTATATTGTTAAAACTGAGACTCAAAGACATTTAAACAACTTGTCTAAGGTCACCTAGGAAGCAAGTGGCAGAGCTTACATTCAGACCAAGGTCTTTCTGAGTCCAAAGCTCTTTGCAGGTTACCTGTATGCATACCAGATTAGTTTCAGAGGAGAACATGTAAGGAGGACTCAGATATGTCCCAAATTCTGAGGTCAGTGTTAGGTGCTAGGAAGGTCAGATCAGATTCATGTGTAGCGCGGATGTGTGCTAAAGCTGTCTGGAACATGTATAAGATAGGGAGGGGAAAGCCAAAAAGAAAGAAGGCAGCCAACAATAAATGGCATGTTCCTCAATTTCCCTTTCAGTTAATAGCACAAGAAACACTAGAGGTGATTCATATTCATAGTTTAGTCCTTGTATTAAGTCTTCCAGGTAAAAATCCCATATTGTAATACTGATGTATTATTTCCTCTTGATCTTGCAACTATTTGCTGTGTAGCAGAAAATGTCCCAGAACCAAACAGGAAGCTCAGAAAAGTCACAGGAAATATCTGATCTCCTTTACTCTTAGTCAAATGGAAACAAACTCTACTAGGTTAGTCTCTAATTTGCATCCTTAACACTAAGGCATGTTGGAAGAAGTAACTAGCAGAGAAGTTGTTTCTACAGAGAAACAAAAGACATTTCACATTAACACAATTTTAAAAATAAATTGTTTTTATGGTGTTCTCCTCTGTCCCATACAGTTCTTCCAAGTTTGGAACAAATACACCTTTGCATTCGCCATTCAAGCCCATAAAACCTTCATGCTGTGTGTGTGTGTGTGTGTGTGTGTGTGTGTGTTAAATATATTTGTATTGATTTCAGAGAGAAAGGGAGAGGGAAAGAGGGAGAAATATCAATGATGAGAGGGAATCACTAGTCAACTGCCTTCTGCATGTGCCACACTGGGTGTGAAGCCCGAAACCCGGGCATGTGCCCTGCCAAGGAATCCTACTTTGACCTCTTGGTTCATGGGTCAACGCTCAATCACTGAGCCACACTAGCTGGGCCATGCTGTGAAAGTTTTTGATTCATGCATTCAGGAGTCAGATTAGGTATGGTGCGGGTAGAAACAGTAGTGCTGGAAAAAACAAATAAACAAACCCTATTCCTGTGGGATGAAAAGTTCTCAAGTGAAGCACTCACACCAAGTACTCCCACCTGATGCCCCAAGGCTGTGAACCCAGAAAGATGCTCAGTCCCAGCTAAGAACACAGACTAAGAACTCAACAAAGAAGGGGTGGCTGAGCAGAGGACTCTGACAGGGAATGCAATCATTTTGTTTGTTCAAATTTATGAGCAAAGGGAGGGTCCGAAATTCTCGACTAATAAATACATCCAGCTATGAACTTTTCCAAAATAGAGCTAATGACACCTGGAGCTAACAGATCTCACAGAAAACTCATTCCTGTAAAAAACTCAGAAGTTTCTGTCTTCACTAACTGGAACAGCTGCTCAGCAGTACACCCCTCCGCTCACTCTCACCTTCATTCAAAGTGCTACACCCCTCCCCACCAATAACCATACCCAGTTTCTCCTCTCTCCGTGGCCCCCAAAAGGCCTCAGGCAACAAGAGCCCCAGGACCCGCGGGAACACCCCTCCCCTCCCTGCCATCCCCATTATTCCGCAGGCAGCCCTGCTTTCCCCAGGAGCCAACAGTCTGCAGCTCCTTCGATGCAGGCACGAGCAGACAAGAATGGGGGGGAAGAGAGGCTGTGCAAACTGCATGCTTCAGAATCTCCCTCCATATGCATTTGCCAAAAGGAACAAAAAGAAGATCGGTGCCAGGAAAAGACAACTGAGATGAGGATGCAGTGGGACCGCGGCTGACTCCGTGCCTCTCAGCAGCAAGGGGCTGGCTGACCAGCCACGCATGGGAGCCACAGACGCGAGCCGTTACCTTCAGGATGCAGGCCATGGCGCTCTGCCGACCCTCCTGCCACCGAGCGGTGGGCGCGCCTGAGTCAGGGGCAGTCCTGGCGACACGCTGGAAGCTGGTACCGAGGCAGGACCGCTCCAGCCCACATTCCCGCAGATCCAAATAAGGGGACCTCAGTGCGAGCTGCGCGGGCACAGGCCCCGCCCCCCGGGCCGCGGCCCCGCCCCCGGTCCAGTCCACTGGCCCGCTGCCCGCGAGGCCCCGCCCCCCGAGTCACGTGCCGTCCCGGGCGCCGCCGCTGGCCCTCGGTGCTTGGTACTTTTTCTTCTCTCTTTTATTTTTGTAACTGTTCTGTCGTTCAACGTATACAAAGCCAGTAAGCAGCAGGCTGGGGAGAGAGGAGATCGGTCTTTTCCTCTCCTGGATTCGGTCTCCTCTAAGGGATCAAGGAAACTCCTTGCAGACATTTCATACTTTTTAAAAAGTTAAATGGGCTTGGAATCACCCCCTCTACAGGCACCAAATAAGGATTCTTCAAAAGTAGCAAAGGAAATGCTCCGTGGGGCTACTTACTAAAACCTTCACTCTGCTTAAAAACTCTGTGAGGGGCTTCCCTAAACTCAATAATTTGCCATTAATAAGAGCAGAAATACCTATTAACCAAAGATGCTATGAATCTTACACCATTTATTTTATGTACACGCATGCACATGTACATATATGTGTACATATGTGTATATATATATAATGTATTCCTCTTTCGTACTTTAGGCTTGTGTGTTTATGAAAATGTGTGTAAACAAATATACAGTAAATAGAACATTCTTATATATACATTGATTGATTATATATGTATATAAATTATGTGTGTGTACACACATGCATAGATAGGACATTACTCTTCCCTGTAACAAGTTTATTTTTTTTAGTTTTATTTTTATTGTTGGTATTATTACAGACATCTCCATTTTACACCCCCCCCCCTTTTGTCCACCTCCACCTAGTCCCAGTCCCCACACCTTCCCCTTCTCCCTGGCCATCACCACACTGCTGTTTGTGTCTATGTGTCATGCATATATTCTTTCTTTCTTTTTTTTTTCTTTTTTGCAATCCTCACCCAAGGAGATCCATTGCCTTCATAGAATATCTGAATGGGGATCAAACCTGCAACCCAAGAATGTGCCCTGATGGGGAATTGAACAAGCAACCTTTCCATGCACAGGGCCATCCTCTACCAACTGAGATACTTGGGAGCATATATGTTCCTTGGCTAATTCCTCCTGCTATACGTTTAGAATTTGAATGAACTTAGTTGCAACTTCAGCAACAAAATTAACTTAAATGTTTCTGATAGACTTAGAAATCCCGAGAGGCCTTTTCACCATGCAACCTGAACTCTTGGGCTAAAACAGAGTAATACAGCAGCTCTACTTAACGGGCAGGTGTCTGGGAGAAGCGATGCTTTGGGTCCTCTCCATCTGTCTTCAGCAGGCCCTAACTGAGTGAAAATCCAATCCTAAGAACCAGCTAAAAGAAGCGGAGTTATTTCTACAAGGGAAGTAACATCACGCGCAGCAGAAAAAGGGAGAGAACATTCTTTGTATATAAACAGATTTCTACCACGTGGTCTGTCAGAAAAATCTTAAAAACCAGACCCAAACTATTTACCCAAAAGAGGTTTCACTTGCTAGAAGCCCTGTCTACTTTGCCTACATGGAGTCAGGGAAAGCACTGGGGGCTGCTAGTAGGCAGTGACGTCATGAAACTTGCTCACAAACCACAAGGCAGACACCAGGCTTTCTAGGATTTGGTGTTTTATTGGTGAGAATATTCAGAATCCTGAGAGCAGGAGGAATCACAGGAAAGGGGGGCTGGGAGTGAGGATGGGAGTGAGAAGCTGCTCTTTTCAGTGGCCCTCAGAGAACATGTTCCTTCCCCCAGCCCCTCTGTCTGCTTCAGAGAGCTGCTCATTTTCAATAAGAACTACTTGATCAGGATTGTGTATTTTAAACTGCTGCTTTAGCTCATGGTCTTTGGTGAGCCAGGAAAACTTACTATCTCATTCATTTATTAATTCAGCAAACCTTTATTGGACTACTACTAGAAGAACAAATCTTATTTGTTCCACTAACTGAAGGATAAAGGCTTTATTGAGATACTACCAACCAGTTAGAGATGAGAGAATGATTTTTGTGACAATTCATGGGACAATAAACTCTGGAACTCAGCTCCAGTCAAGTGGGAAAGATAAGAGAAGTATGATAAGATAACATGGGAGGTTCTTTAACCAAGTGGAAGCAAAGCTCAAAAGAAAGAGGGAATGGGCCTGACCGGGTGGCAGGTGGGAAGGGAAGGGTCATCAGAGCACACCATGCTCTCTCTAGAAAGCCTGCAGGTCTAGGAGACAACACAGCAGACTCTAGTGAGCAACCCTATTACCAAGTAATTCTCAGAGCTATAACATACAGTTTCCTGAGAGAAATAAAATTAAAATGCAGGCTCCCATAACTTTTCCAATTTTATCTTGTACACATTAATTTAATATATTTATATTCTACACAGAGTCATTTATTAAGGTTTTAATTGGCTCTCCATTTTTCCCATCTAAAGATTTTAAATGGATTGTAGGTATCTTGCTGGGTGACCTTGACCAAGTTTCTTAACTTCTCTTTAGTTCTTAGCTTACACAATAGGATCTATCCTTGTAAGAATTAAATGAGATAATGCTTGTAAATCCACTCACCTCAATTCCAGGCACTATGAACACTCTTCAGTGCAATTTATCCAAAGAAGAAACCTTTGACTAAAGAAGCTTGTGGTAGAGGCTGAATACCATTCACGTTGACCATCTCAGAAAGATGAACACTGAGGCCAACATTTACCATCTTATGACTTGGGTATCCTGTAGTGAGGGTTTACTAACCCCAATTAAACTCCCACGCACCCATGTCCACACTTCTCAAAATGTTATTTTTATTAGCATCTAAAAGTTATGCCTAAAAATAGATAGAAACAGAGGTACATTTATAACAACCTAAAAAAAGCTCAAGAGATTCTAGAATAAATCTGGACCAGAAGTTTCACAAAAGCAATATTAACAATCACTGTTTCTGATGGGCAGCAGTTAGATGGGAAAGAGCAGTTGGACCGAAATGAAAACAGGTTCGGAACCTGTTAGAGAATGAAGGTGTGGCCAGATATGTGAGAGCATGGTGGTGGACTGGGGTGGAGGGAGAATATGGCAGAATTTTTGTTTTGTTTTGTTTTGTTTTGTTTTGTTTTGTTTTAAAACTGGCCAAACTACACGAATATCTTAGTCTAGCCCATAGATGTAGCATAATTTTCTAAGTTTCAAGTTATGTGACTTAAAGCCAAAAGCCTATTTCCAAAAATAACAATAACAAAATAGAGGCACCTTTCAATTTAATACATTATGCCATTTGATCTCATATCTACAGTATATGGATGTTGGCATCCTCAGCTGGTGAGTGGGGAAATGGATTTGAACCTGGATAGTTTGATTTATCCGTCTGCCATCTTAACCACTACATTCAGCTGGCCAGGATGCTAGGAACCCAGTCTCTATCATTTGGCACCATTCACATTAATCTGTTGCCACAGGTTTGGTAGTCAGAAAACCTAGAGTATGTGTCCTCCCTAGGAAACATACAGGATAAAACCTAAGGTAAGTATGTATGTATGTATGTATGTATGTATGTATGTATGTATAGAATAGATGTACTCTGAGTGTAGAGGACAATAAACTCACTCTGTACCTATCACCCTACTTTAACCAAGCTGCTGCACATCTCATCCAGGTCTCCCATACAACCAAACTGTTACCACCTTCTGCCCATGAGAATGACCTCCCACCAAGGAATCTCACTGCTCTATCTCACCTATGACATGGGGCTGCCGTGTAGTAGCCTGCCAGTCCTTGCTTCCCTTGCTGGAGAGATCCTTGTGGGCTGACTCTATCACCACATCAGACTCTCTAGGCCCTTCTGCTCTCTGGTCCATCTTCCCTCTCCTCATAGGCCTTTCACCAATGAGATATCAACATGCCTTAAGGCTGATACTTCATGAGTTATGACAATTCATGGGACAAAATGTCCTATTTAAATTCAGTTTTGCTTCATTATCAACAACCCTATTACCAAGTAATTCTCAGAGCTATAACATACAGTTTCCTGAGAGAAATAAAATTAAAATGCAGGCTCCCATAACTTCCAATTTTATCTTGTACACATATTAATTTAATATATTTATATTCTACACAGAGTCATTTATTAAGGTTTTAATTGGCTCTCCATTTTTCCCATCTAAAGATTTTAAATGGATTGTAGATATCTTAAACTTCTCTGTGTCATCCACTAGATAAATTATGCTCCCATAGGAGACTGTGCCTGGAAGATCCATTATACAATGTATGGGGAAGTAATTTTTTTTACATTCTAAGCCAGATTAGGAAATGATTTTTTTCCCCTAGGAACAATTGCACTGTTACAGTTTTGACATAGGAACTTTTTAATATCTTTAAACATGTGTCTATCTGTGCATGTCATGTGTGTACCTATATCTGTGTACAAGTACGTCTGTGGCCATGCCCTTAAAAAGTGAATATTTATAAGAATATATTGACATATGGGGTTAAGATTCATTTCCCTCCGTTTGGATAGTAGATCATTCCAAAATGTCATACATTCACATTCCTAAAACTTGAGCTTTCTGCTTTTTCAAAGCCTTGTACAGTTCTGATCCAGAATTCATCATTATCCCTGACTATACTGACACTTCTCTGGGATCAACTCCAAGACAAGTTATGCATGATTTCAAATTGCATTTTAAAAATATTATAGATTTTCTCATTCTCCTTTAATAGTCTTCCTTAAGTTCATCTACCCTTCCTATTGGAAATTCCCATCATTTTTCAAAAAGTAATCTTTTTTTCAAACAAACTAAAAAAGAAAAATACTGAGATATCTGTTTTTAATTAAAAGAGAAAGAAATCTGAAGTTAATGTTCTTTACCTAATTTTC